CTTTGTCAATACTCTTCTTTGAGAGCGTAATCAGCATGTTCCCTGTTTTGGTTTTGTAGATCTTTTCCACGGTTGTGCGGACCTGTTCGTCGGGAACGGCCTGCCTTATACGACGCAATATTTCAGCGTACTTCTCCTTCTCTACCGGACGGATGATCAGAGCGTCAGGCCTAATCCACTTTCGTGGTTTTTTCCGCTTAGGCTCTGGCCTGGGCTCCTTCGGCGGCTGCTTTGAGAGTTGCTCTCTAGCTAGCCTTCTCTTCTCCTTCTTAGACTGTACTTTTTCCCAGTCAATCGTCGTCTTCTGAGGTTCGTTGCCCTGCTCTGCCAGTCGTTGAGGAGGGCTTTTTTTCAAGTCCTTCTTCTTTGCTACTTTGTCGGTTGGCTCTGGTGAGTTTCGTTCCTTCCTGGAATAGGCCTTTTGTCAGTTTCACCCTTCTCTTCTGCGATTGATTCACCGTCACTTTCGGCTCCGGTGTCCATTGCTTCGTCAGTTATGGCGTCAACTTGGCAGGTTTCCTCCTGTGTAGCACGGGAAGTGCGCAGCAATGATGAGCACCAATCTTCGTCCAGTTTCTCAAACCTTTGAAGGGCGTTAGCTACACTAGTCGTCTTGGACTTTATCTCCTTGTGGATGTTGACCTTCGATTGGACGAAGTCATTCAACTCACTGGTCAGCTTTTTGAGGCGTTCGAGCGCTTGTGACCGCTTCATTTCAGCGCTTGCGTTAATCGCTGCTTGTTGGGCATGAGGCCCGTTTCTACTCTTGTTTGTTTCCTGTAAGTTACTCATACTTTTTGATTCACCAGCGCATCGTACGGAGTGGAGCGGGTTGTCATAACTAGGAGCGGGTGTACCCTCGGAGATAGTACTCCTACCCCAGTTCCCTCAGGCCTAGCCGACACTTAGCCAGTCCCGGAATACACGGACGGAATAGACTCGCTCGGGGCGGTGAAGATTCCGATCTCTAACACTCACTGCGTACTTCCTGATCAAGGCCCGAAGTGACTGGCTCCTGATCCACTACTGCAACTTACACCTCGGCAGAGCAAGCTCACATCAGCCATGGCCTGCATCGTCGGAAACTACGATACAGGTTCCGGACACTCCCAGTGAGTTACAGCAGGGACCGATCGTCTTGTTAGGTCAGTTAGTGTGGCCAACCCATTAAAGGGGAGTTTTGTCCACGGGAGCGTATTTTGTTTGGTTATTTTGCTTGACTCCTACCCGCTGTACCCCATCAACTAAGAGATTATCCAAGTGTCATCCAAGGACAGCGAGCGTTCTCCCATCCGCTCGGGGAGACGCACCCGGTAGCAGTATCTCTTCTGCCCCGAGTGTGTGTGTGTGTGTTTTTTTTTCCCTAAGGGGGGGGGGGGAATCCTTTTTACGGATTCTAGGCATAGCTGTTTGGCCTGGATATATGGCGACTCGACGCAGCGTCATACTAGAACTCGACGCTGGCGCCCCTACCCACTAAACCCTAAACCCCTTTCTCTTCTATCCTCTGGTCCCCCATGGTACCGCCATAAGGCATTTCTTCGCGGACGGAGGAATTAGCTGCCGCTCTTCCTTCTGGTGGCTAAGATTTTATTTCTTCCTTCTAGTTTCTGTCATTCGCTCTTTTTCTTTCAATGGAACGCAGCTCTGTAAGGACTTCGGTGGAAAAAGTGCTTGTAGCGTTTCCAGCAGTTTGACTCGACAACATTGTCTCTACTATTGTCTCTGGTTGGATTCTCCGGTTCAGGATCCTTTCTAACTCATTTCGCTGAGGATCAAAACGTGGACACACAAAGAAAACGTGCCCTGCGTCCTCAATAACTCCTGGACAAGACGGGCACTCCGGAGAATCGTCATGCTTAAAGCGGTGCAGGTACTCTCGAAAGCACCCATGACCTTACAACATCTGCGTTAGGTAATAGTTGACTTCGCAATGATTTCGGTTCAGCCAAACATCGATCTTTGGTATGAGTCGGTATGTCCATCTTCCTTTTGCTGCGGCGTCCCACTCAAGTTGCCATCGCGAGATGCTGTGCTGCCGTTCTTATGTTCTAAGTTCTTCAGGGCTCAGTGCAGTTGACCTTTTTCGTTGGTAAAGAGCTTGTCTTTCCTCTGCTAGTACTCTAAGCGGTAGGGTTCCAGCAATAACGCACACTGCTTCTTCTGATATTGTGCGGAAGGCACTGGCAACTCTCAGAGCGCTCTGTCTGTAAATTGGACCCGCTTTTCTCCAAGATTCTTGCACACTCGGTGGATTTTACTATTTTCGTATTAATTTTATTAATTCATTTACTGTATACCATTTATTATTATTTATATTTGATAATTTATATGTTATTATTATTAGTTCTTAAGTATTAATTTGACATTCGTTTCAGAAAATTGTATTGGAATACTTAAAATTTTATTGTTTCATTGTTTATGTATTAATACTGAGGTCCAACGATGGGTATCGGGACAGGTAACGAGGAAAATACAAAAGCATAAAATTGATTATTGGTAATATCATATCCCTTGCTCGCACGGGTGATTCTCTAGTGTATCGATTGCGAGCAAAGGGACTAGTAATTTCGGTAAACGTCTGAAGAGGCCCTCGTGATCGGACACGAGGCCTCGTGGTTTCTCGGGAAAATAAAATCGGGAGACACGCGGGAGTCCGCAAAGTGTAAGGAGTGTGGATCTAGCGCCTTTGTTGAAGTCCCCTTTTTTGGTGACTACTCACAAGTTGAGTTAAGTTATCATCCACATGCCACGTTGTCTCCTGGCTTATAATTTGTTATTAAAAACGTTATAATTAAGCGAGTCGGCCAGTATTTATTTATTTAATTTATAATTGTAATTCGTCGAGATAACCCGACCAAGGAATTTGGGTATATCTCAGTTTAGTATTATTTAGACATAATTTATATTTTATAATCAATGTCGTCGTAAAATAAAAGGTCTACTCAGGATCTAGATCAATAATTAAGAATTATACGTGACGATATTATTATTATTGTTTTGCAGTCTACCTGACCAAGGAATTCGGCTCTCGACTTAGTTAAAGTAATTTATTTTGAATAAATAGTTTATTTGTTTTTATTAATAACATTTTGATTTACGTAAATTACTTTCTCCTTTCTTTCCTAATATTAGTATATTATTGATCTTTCCCTTGAATACCTGCAGATTGGCCCGGGGAAATCAGAGGTTTGCTATTTCCTGGCAAAGAATAGCTGGCGTTCAAAATCGTGCACTAACCCAGCCCGAGGGAAAGCTGCGGGTTGCTTGAGAGACTAAGAGCTACCTCCCAATTCATTTTTTTTGTTTATTTCGTATTTTCAGTCAATTGTTGGGCGACCTGGACAAGGATAAGTGACGACTGGCCTCTTCACCGTCGGTTGAAACTTATTTTTTTGTTACAAGTTCTAAAATCTACATTTAGATTCTGATCAAATGAGAATGTCTTAGAAAATTCTAGAATGATCTAGAAATGTCTAGAATAAACTGGGAAGTTCTAAAATCTATGCTTAGATTCTGATCAAATGATAATGTTCTAGAAAATTCTAGAATTAACTAGGAAGTTCTAAAATCTTCGTTTAGATTTTGATCGAATGAGAATGTTCTAGAAAATTCTAGAATGATCTGGGAAGTTTTAAAATGATTTGGGAACTTCTAAAATCTAGGTTTTAATTATGATTGAATGAGAATGTTCTAAAAAATTCTAGAATGATCCAGAAATTTTGAGAATGATCTAGGAAGTCTTAAAACTAACGTTTAGATTTTGATCGAATGAGAATGTTCTAGAAAATCCTAGAATGATCCAGAAATTTCTAGAATAATTTGAGAAGTTCTAAACCTGCGTTCAGATTTTGATCGAATGAGAATGTTTTATAAATTTCTAGAATGATCTGGAAAATTCTAAAATCTACGTTTAGACTCTGATTGAATGAAAGTGATTTAGAAAATTCAGATTCAGATTCAGATTCAGATTCATTTTATTTATGCCAAAGCCTGCTGGCCAGATGGCAAATTTTACAAAAGTATAAAATTTTTATAATACAATATAAAGAAATTATAAACAATGATTGTAAACCATAAAAAAGCTATCGCTGGGAGCTATCATCTTTATTAACTAATGCTGTAGTGACTAGTAACTTAAAATCTATCTAAGTAACAAGAATAAACACTAAAAATTAATTAAATTCAAGAGATCAAATACATCATTTAATTTAACCATATTCTTCGGAGTTATTCTAGAGTGATCTAGAATAACTCCGAATAAACTTGAAAGATTTAAAATATATGTCGTTCTTATCAAAAATAACCTGCATTGTTTTAGAAATTTTAAAAACATCCTAAAAAATTTTAATATCAACAAATAACTGTACTATCAAAAATGACCCAGTGAAGCGGGTGTTCACTGCTAGTAATTGTAAGATCGAGCGAGCCTGCCGTAGGCAGGCGACGCTCAATCTCAATTATATCGATAGCTTCGTTTGAAGAGATCACTAAGTAGTACCGTTCATGTACGCTCTTTATTCCACACATTTCAGCGCAAAAACAAAAGCTCATCGCTGTTAATAGCAACCGCCTTGTTTATTGCTCATAAAGTTCAGCTAATCTTTAAAAAATAAAGAGATCACTGGGTGAGAAAGATAAAAAAATAATGTTAGTTGGTTAAACCGGGTGGGAGTGATCTCTTCGAATGAAGCTATCGATATAATTGAGATCGAGCGTCACCTGCTTACGGCAGGCTCGCTCGATCTTACAATTACATCTCTAGCTTCGTTCTTTAGATCACTAAGTAGATGTTCAGAGCAACAATGAACATTTTAACAGTAAACTTATTTATTAAATAAATAAAGTAAAATTATAATAATAAAATAATGTAAATGAAATTTACTTTTTATTTATTTATTTTTTTTTTTTTTTTTTTATTCAAGAGCATAAAAAGTTTGTATCACAAACACATAAACGTATTTAACGTAAACACAATTAACATGAACATAATTAATGAGTTAGAACAGATTCAGCGAATGTATTTTTATTTTCGACGATTGGTCGGTTATAAAATTTTTCGAATACTTTTGATTTATCCGACCAACCAGCTAATTTTTCAATTAAATTTAAATCAATTCCTTTTTTAAAGGCAGACGAAATAGCTGCATGTCGCAAACTGTGAGATGTAAAATCTTGACCGACACAAGTTTGTAAAAAGGAACGAATCCATTGTTATATCCGGCGTTGCCTCATATAACACACAGAGTCTCTCCCCTTCGATGAAAAGTGCAACGCTTGCACTTTATAAGTTTCGACAATCACTCAGACAGCACCTCGATTAAGAAATGAGCACACTGTCCACGTTCTGTTAAATTTGCAATTTTAGATCAATAACAAAATTTAACTCCCTTCCGAAAATCACGATCCGGGTGTATAAAACCACCAAACACCACGGATCAAATGTTCACTCTTTTATTAAAGAATACGAGGGAAGGTATCCTCGTAGAACCCGTGTGGGTCCTTATACCGCGTTACGTATAAGGCAGTATACAGCACTCGGTCGCGTATACAAAAATCTAAATTCATCTCAACTTTTAACTCTATCTTCTACGAACCACGACAGTGTGCTTTTCGAGCAGAATCGAGGGGCCCCGTGGCTGTAGTGATATCTAAATTACAACTTTTCGTTCTATTACTTATTAACGGCAGATCTAGTGCCTGCCAGAGTCGTTATTCTGTTTACGAACTCATTTAATAAACATTCTAAACCGTTAAAACATAATTATAAGTGTATAGTTATAAGTATAGTTATAAGTGAAATACTGTACATTGAGTGCGTCTCGCCCATAGGGCAAATAATTGAATAAAATATAAAAACCAGAACTTCTTGCTTCACTTCATTCTAAATTAAGATCCTTAACCTCTTCGACTACACCGATCTACAGAAGGAAGAAAAATCAATCCAGGACCTACTGATCAGACAACTCAAATCCTAATCAACTACAAAATTCATAAAGGACGACTGTGAGTTCAGTATTTGTTATCGAATTCCCTTTAGATTCGCCGTTGGAACTCCTGGTTACCGGGAGGCGTTCGAAACCCACAATGAAAATAAAACTCTTGTAGCTTGCCTACAAGAGAAAATCTATCTCAAAGCGTGTCTGAGCCTCCTGAAGGCCAACTCTACCAATAATTATTTAATTATAATTAATTCGGACATAACAGATTAGATTTTTCCATTAATCCATCGACTAACTGTGTCTTTGGAAGCGTTCTTGTAAGGTTTAACAGTAGTGATAAATAAATTAATTGGATTTTTAGCCAAAAGTGAAGTACATTCCAAATATTTTTCTAAAGTAGAAACAACACATAAATTTACATTTTTATGAAATTTAGGTAAAATTAAAAGTTGCTGAAATACACCTCGTTTAGAAGTTTTCATTCTATCAGGAATTTCTATTTCATAATTTTCACCACTTCTAATTATATTACATCTTTTAATCGAAGCAATTGTTTGTATTCGATGTGCGGTAGTTAATGCTAGTAAAACTGCTAATTTAGTTGTCAATTGAGGACGGTCAAGATTACTTAGAGGTCTTAAAAGTTCTAATTTATCTAAAATTGGGTCTAAACTGTATATACGATCATAACGGGATTTTGCCGGTTTAATGTTATACGCTCCTTTTAAAAGACGCGATACCAAGGGATTTTTTGTACAGGAAGATCGGAGTAGATTAGAATCTGGTTGAAAAATGATTGGTTGTGAATCTAGAAGTGATAGCCACAATGGATACCATGGCTGACCACACCAATTAGGCACTACTAAAATTCCACAGGCCTGGTCCGTTTGAATTTTCTTCAATTTTTTAAGAATTAAAGAAAATGGGGGAAAAGCAAAGAAATTGAGTTCGTTCCAGTCAATTGTTAAAGCATCAATGCAGAAAGCTAAGGGGTCCCGGTGCCAGGAGCAGTACTTTTTGCATTTATTATTAAGATTTGAAGCGAATAAATCAATATCCGGTTCATTAAATTGAGAAACGATTCTTTGATAAGCAGAAGACGACAACTCCCATTCTGTGTCGATATTATCAACTCTTGAAGCTGCATCAGCTTGAACATTATCCTTGGAAAGAATGTATGAAGCAAAAATCCATAAATTTTTGGGTTCACACCAACGCCAAATATCATAAGTTAGGTCATTAAGATATTTGTGTTTTGTACCTCCCATTTTATTTATGTAAGCGATTGTTGTAGAGTTGTCAATTCGTAATAAAATTTCACAGTTCGATAGATCCGATGCAAACGTCTTTAGACCGTTAAATGCAGCTAAAAGCTCCAAATAATTAATATGGAATGATTTTTCTTTATGATTTCAGTGTCCATAGACGACTTGGTTTTCACTAAAAGCTCCCCAGCCAGTAGTTGACGCATCTGAGTAGATAGTAATTGAAAATTTTGAATTTCTAATAGGATTTTTTGAAATTAAAACATTATTTAACCACCAATCAAATTCAGAGGTTAATGAAGTTGATATTTTCATAATACTGTCATAATTTTCATTAACTTTCAATAATTCGAGATAACGTTGCTGTTCAAATTTTTTCGAGTGTAACCAACCATAATTAATAGATGGGCAAGCTGCAGTAATATTACCTACTAGCTGAGAAAATTCTCTAATAGAACAGTGGGTGAGATTTTTAAACGTCAAAATCAACTCGATATTAAATCTTTTTTCTTGCGTAAGCTCTACAGTCATTTGCTCCGAATTAAAAATAAAATCTAAAAATTTACAGGACGTCGAAGGAGCAAGCTTATTCTTTTTTTCATTGATTATAAAACCTAATGACTCTAAAAATTCTCGCGAAATTTTAACATTTTGTGAGCAAACCCCCACGGAAAAAATATATATCCTAGAATATATGCTAGGAATATATCCTAGAATATACTGTAGAATATATGCTGGGATATACGAAAATTCGCCAAAAAATATATGCTAGGATATATGTGTTAGTATATATTCCAGTATATATCCCGAATATATCCATGGATATATACTTGCGCTCGTATGTGTCCTGTTGTAGGTAAAATTTTTTTGAAATCTACAGTCTGGTTCATAATCAATGGACGTAAGACATGCATATATATCTTAGAATATATCCTAGGATATATTTTTCGGCGAATTTTCTTATACTCAGCATATATCCTTGAATATATACAAGGATATATTCCCAGCATATATTTTAGGATACATAATTTTTCCGTGGGAGAAGAGCAATCGAATCATTTACCAACCACCAGTCGTCCAAATAAACTACTGATAAATAACCTAATGAGCGTAAAAAACTGACAATAGGTTTTGAAATTTTTGTAAACATCCAGGGGGCAGTACTTAAACCAAATGGCATACAAATAAATTCATAGAGACGAGCGTTCTAAAAAAATCTTAAAAATTTCCAAAAAGTTTTATGAATTGGAATCATAAAATATGCGTCTTGAAGATCAAAACTAGCCATAAAACAATCTTTTGATATTAATTAAAGAACTGTTCAAAAATCTTCCATATTAAAATGAGTTGTCTCTATGAATGAATTAAAATTTTTTAAGTTGAGAATAAATCTCATTTTTCCATTTTTCTTGGGGACAAGAAAAATGCTGGATGAAAATTGACCTTCCTCTTTAACACATTCTTGAATGGCCCCCATAGATAAAAGGTCGTCAATAGCTTCCTGAATTTGGTGTCACGTTAAATGATCCCCGGAATTTAATACTGCGACAAATAATACCTGTAATTTGATCCCAGCGTCAATTGATCCCACCGACAAATGATCTCGCCAACAAATGATCCCGCTGACAAATGATCCCAAGGTTTAGCGGGGTCCGGGGCGAAGCCCCGATGGAGGTTGGAGGGCAAAGCCCCCCATTCAAAAAAGTTATTGAGGTTCGTGGCGAAGCCTCAGAGGGGTCCGGGGCGGAGCCTCGGTCGGGGTTGGGAGGCGAAGCCCTCCATTTTAAAAGGAATGAATTATTATTCTACACAACAGTCAACGCTCTCTGTATTTGACTCGCCCGTACAGGACCATCCTCTGTATATGACATGTCCTTGTCCTTGATAATAAACACACATAACATCCTTGATAAAAGGGCATAACACGGTAACAAGCATATGTGTTAGTATACTTTCGAATAAACATACATAACATCCTTGATAAAAGGGCATAACACTGTAACAAGCATATGTGTTAGTATACTTTCGAATAAACATACATAACATCCTTGATAAAAGGGCATAACACGGTAACAAGCATATGTGTTAGTATACTTTCGAATAAACATACATAACATCCTTGATAAAAGGGCATAACACGGTAACAAGCATCTGTGTAAGTATACTTTTGAATAAACACACATAACATCCTTGATAAAAGGGCACAACATGGTGGGTGGGATCGGTCGTCGGTGGGATCAGTTGTTAGTGGTATCAGTTCTCAGTGGGATCAATTGACGTGGGATCATTAGTCGTGGTATCAGATGTCGTGGTATTAAATTACGGGGATCAATTATCATGGAACCCTGAATTTTAATTTTGTCATTATCACAAAAACTATCGTTTGTCGGTATGAATGATTGTATTGGAGTCATCGTAAAAGGGATTTTATACCCGGAAATAATTTCCAGAATAAACGGATCAGAGGTGATGTTAGACCAGGCGTGTAAAAAATATTTTAACTGACCAGCAACAACGCTCACCTCTACTTTTTGCTCTGAGTTCGATTGAATTGATTTGAACTCTGACCTCGAGCTTGAGATCGGGTTGAAACCTGATTGGTCTTGTTCTGCGGGGCTGATCTCCAAAATGGGAAGCGTTGATAGCCCGTCTGTTTGACGCTGACGCGTGAAGCAGACAGGCTCTTCCAGTTTAAAGGAGTCACCTCCTTTGAAGAATCCTTCCTTGGAGGTTGGGTCTTCATAGACAAACGTCTTTTCCATAGTCACAGAGTTCTTGATCCGCTTGCTAAGATCTTGGCCAAAACGGAACTCGTCGGTGACTGAATCTTCAAGCACAGTTTTTCTTTTGTCATCAACACAAGAATAAATCTGTGAACGCCTTGATTTACCCAGTTGAAACATTGACTCGCACATCAAGCTGCTGGAGTCACAAAGGAGTTGTAATAACTCATTTTTATCGACAGGATTGTTGTCATCGTTGAAAATATTAGAAATAGCTTGTCCCAAAGCGACGAGGCTACGACCGCATAAATCTTGATTTTGAGTTAAGTATTTATCACGAGATTTAGCGGTCTTGTTTAGAAGTGGAATCAGTTCCGGATTGAGAACAGGAGCTGACAGAGTACAGTTTCCTTTATTGGGATAACTGTCAATCAATTTTGTTTTAGCTTCCTTTTCCAGTCCAGAAGAAACAATCTCTTTCCAACATGCAGAAAGTTCAGGATGAAGATTGTAAGTCTTGTCTTTCAGGAGACGCTTGTCGTGCCGAGCATTTTCAGGATCAGATCACTGAGATTGGGAACTTCAGAACCCACTGACTCAGGAGACTCGTCTGACGTCTTAGAATCTTTGGTTGTAACAACCACATCATGTTCAGAGTGTTGACTCTGACGTTGATCGTCATTATCTAAGTCTGCAAGAGCAAGATAAAAGCTAGGTTAAGATAAGCGACCAAGAAATAAATAATTATAATAAAAATTCCTGATGCAAAAAGTGAAAGGTTAGATTATTAAAATCTAATTTCACTTGTATTTTAAATCTCAACCCAGTCGAAAAAAGGTACACAAAATTTGTAAAAAATTTTTGTGCCCAAAGAAAATTAAGTATAAACCATGAATAATTACCCTCAGATGAAGAAGCACTAGTAGAAGAATCATTTACTTTTTTAAATGATTTTTCGATTTTGATTAAGTCTTGATATTTCTTCAATTTTTTCTCAAGACTTTCCAATGAGAGACCACTCTCATTTTTACGTTTGTTACTCATTGTAAAATGAAAAAATAATTAAAGGAAATGTAAAATACGTGGAATAGATTACTTAAGATGTTTGTTTAAAGCGCACAGAAAACGTAATGAGCAATAAACAAGGCGGTTGCTATTAACAGCGATGAGCTTTTGTTTTTGCGCTGAAATGTGTGGAATAAAGAGCGTACATGAACGGTACTACTTAGTGATCTAAAGAACGAAGCTAGAGATATAATTATATATAATCATGCATGATTATATACACTCTTCTGTATAATCATACATAATTATATATGATTAGAGAAAAACTTTTTTCATCGGGTTGTTGATCATGATATTGTGTGTTATTTTTTTAAGTGCTGTCGAAAATTAAAGGGAAAACAATGTAGCGCCAAGAAAATGTCAATAAATAGTAAAAACTTAAAAATTAGCCGACCGAACCGTACAGTCGTAGTGAATGAGAAGAAAGGAAGAAAAGCAATAGGGGATAGAATATTTGCGGTCAATGCTAAGTTCACTATTACGGCCACAGAGGGCAAGAAGGAAAAATCTTTCCGCATTGCAGAAAAAGTCGACGGCAATTCTTTCTTTGAGAGAATTTTGCTGCGGTAGACTTCTACTCAAGAAATTCAGGAGAAAACATACTACCTGGAGTACATTTAAGACGCAGTTAAGTTATTGTCGCAATCCACTATAGAAACGTCGACTCTTTCCGTTCCAAGGCCTTCAGCTATAGGGTAGTAGGTAAATATAGCCGAGTAAGTGGGAGTGAGGAGAATATCCGCTTGCTTTCCAGGATAGAATAAGGCCTCTGGGACGACAGATAGTCACCCGTGAGGAAAATGGAAACTAGTTAGGGACGTTATAAACATAGGAGCGTGTAATAATTTTTTGTGTGCATGACACTATAATTTATTCTGAAAAAAAATCTTAATGAAGAGAAGGTTGTTTTTTATTGTTCGATGAAATAAATTTATTCAATTTCATTTATTTGTCGCGGTTATTCCAAAGTTATCCCTATTTAAATCCTGAAATCTGTTGGGCCAACTCGAACCGGGGATAATAAAATGATAAGTTAATAACATAAATAATAATGAACAAATTAATGAAAATGGTAATTGTAGTCGTTACAAAAATACAAACTTCTATTTGTTCCGCCCACCATCCTTCCATACAATTTCATTACTTGAATCTAATGTTACTAGAATTTGAACGCGCCAGTATAAAATATTTCATTATTACCAGTTATTGTACTTACTTAGATTTTTGATAATTGACTCTAAATTATGACTATAAAATATAAAGTCGATAAAATATACATTAAAATATGTAATATAATACTCTTATCGATAATGCTACTGGTTCCAGAACTTGGCATGCAGTATGACTGTTTCTCCTTGCGTGTGACTGTGATTTTTGTTGACTAATTAAGCAACTATAGATTAACATGTATTATTGTCGCACAATTGTGAGACAAAATGTCTGGTTTTTTCAATTGCATTACATGGAGGAAAACATATCGTTCTCATCTCTTAGTATTATTGTGATTATCATGATACTCATATGACTGTACTTTATATGCGTGTATGCTCAAATTCTTTTATAGCTATGATCATGGCCTACATGGATTCCGACATCATCCGCCTTCCTGACAAAAAAAAAGATTAGAAGGTATTTAAAACTATTTATTTCTTAATCCTATTCAATAATTTTTCATCTTTTAAATCATTTTAAATATTAGCTCTGATGGCCGGTTAGCATATGAGGAATCATGTTTAGTCCTTTTATTTTTCAGGATCGTATCGCTATGTTTATGATACTGTTTCTTTCATGTGACTTCTCAAGTCGAAATTTGAGTTCCGTTTTGACGGTACGTTTTTCCAACTTAACTTTCAGATAATTTTACCATCAAACCAGACGTTACATCATTAAGTGCTTCATGATCGTACGTCTGGTTTAACGGTACCTTGGGGAGTTTTTTCCCATTCTGACGTGTTTACCATTAAACCAGACGTTAAATAATCATAATACTAACCATAATAATAAAAGTAATAATATTTAAAAATAGCTAGCGATTCGGGATCGAATCCCACTCGGATCCTTTTTTTTTATTTTTAATGAAATAATAATCATAACACCTGATCTTTTCAATAAATAAATAAATAACTTAACGAATCGAGAATCCGAACATTATTATTAAGATAATTATAGTTATTATTAAATTATTAATCTATAAGGCAATACTTAAATTATTAATCTATAAGGCAATAATTAAATGTGACTCCAATACAAAAAATTATACTGACGTGGGACTTTTTTTTTTTCTTATATTGTTGTGAGTCATGAAGACAGTATTCGTGATAGTTATTGTAAGTATTCGAACATATGTAATTAACTAACTTAAGAATACCTTAGATATAAATAATAACCAAAAAACCGCCACGCCCAGTCATCTAGACACTGAAGGGAATAAAGCCCCGCAAAAAAAAATTTAGCTTGATTTTTGTTTAAGTTATTTAATTATTATTTAACAAATTTTTCGTAGATTTGAGATTTCATAAAATTTCTCATAAAAATGAAAAAAATGTGTATAACTTTTTTCATTTTGGGAGCTCTGTCTATATAAGTAATGAACAAAATTCCATTGTAAAAGTTTATAAAAGTTTTTTCATGTGTTTATTATGATTTTTTAAAGTTATCAAAAATTGAAATATCAAGCTAATGTTATAACAAAAATTTTTTTTCCGAAATCTTCAATTTCGGTTGTTTTTGTATTAATATATTGCGTATAGTAGCTTGGCTAAAGAATTTTTAACATTAGTTGATTAAAAATTTGTTATAAACAAATAGACAAGTTGAATATTTTTGAAAAATTTTTTTTCATCATTTTATTGTCTTAGTGAAATAACGATTAAAAAAAAAAATTTTCTTAAAAAAATATTTTAACCGTTTATAATTGTTTTTTTTTTTTATTTGTCAAACATTTAAATTATTTATTAAGAAATCATTTTTAACTTCCCGCTAAAAATCTCAGATTTTCAAAAATCGGGAAGTTATTGTTTTCACCCCGTTTTACAAAAATCGAGTTTTCATCAGATCTCGACGTTTGAAGGTCATAGAAAGCTTCCCTGACTATTTTTACGATGATGTCCGTACGTCTGTATGTATGTATGTGTGTGTGTATATGTGTGTATGTGTGTGTGTGTGTTTGTGTCTTTTTTTTTTCTAAAGAGGTACGAAAAAAGATCTTCAAAAGACACCGCTATCGTTAACTCTGCCGCCCATCTTACGGCAGATATCGATAGTCGGTAGTGTGGAGATTTTTACCAACTAAAAAAAACATTCCTCTTCCCCTCTCCCCTAGATGGTACGGGGAGGACTGGATTGGAACCGCGTTAGCATTACTTCAATCCACCCGTGCTGCGTCTCACGACGCCTACTCCTGGCTACTGATCTCTTTCTGCGATTTTGTCTTTCAGGAGCTGCTGTGCATAAGCTGCAACAGCCGACCAGTTTTCTTCTTGTTTGATCATATAGGTCACCAGGCTTGAGGGCGAGAGCCTGGTGCCTATGATCGCTTCGGTGCTTGTTCTGTAGTCCTTTCATCGCGCACACTCAAAGAATGTGTGTTCGGCGTCGTCGATTATATCCGGGCAGTATTTGCATGTTGGTATGTTGTGTAAACCCATCTTGAAGAGATAGGCGTTGTACTACCCATGTCCTGTCAGTAGTCGGGTCAGGAAAAAATCCGTGTCCCCGTGTTTCCGAGAGAGCCAGGCGTTGATGTTTGGGATCAGTCGCGCTGTCCATCTGCCTGTCCCTCCCGACGTCCATCGGTCCTGCCACTCTTGCTGCGTTTCCGCCTTTATCCTCGTTCTTGCGTCCTTCATGTTTTCGTCACTGATTTTAGCGTCATAGAGTTTTGCTCTTTCGAACGCTAATAGGTCGATGGGCGCAGCTCCCTCAATGACCAGTACAGCCGCTTCGGAAACCATGCGGTAGGCGCAGGCAACTCTGAGAGCGCCTCGCCACTGCACTGCTGCCATTTTCCGCCGGTAGGTCTTCTGCTTTAATATGTCTGCCCATATCTACGCTCCATAAAGCAGTACCGAGTGGACTGCTTCTAGAAGAACTCTTCTCTTTTTTGTTCTTGGTCCCAAGGTGTTGGTCATAATTCGTGCTAGGCTAGACACAGTCTTGCTGACTTTCTTGCATGCACTGTCGAGGTGTTCACGGAAAGATAGTTTCTCGTCTATCATAACACCTAGATATCGCAGGGCCCTTGTTGACGTCAGTGTTGTTCCTCCCATGTCCACAGCAAATGGTTTTGGGAACCATTTTTGACGGGTCAAAACGAC